AAGCCACCCCGGTTTGAGCGGCTCTTTCTTTCCGGCTCCGTCCGCAGAGAAAGGGAAACGGTCCTTTAGGGCAAAAAAAAATGGTATTTTTACACCGCCCCCGCGGAAAGGAGATAAAACTGCTGGAAACGCACTGAGCCCGCTTGGAAATCTGTGGGGCGGCTCGAGCAGCTAACGGGAAAATTTTCAAAGCTTGGAAATGCCTCCCCGAGGGAGAATCCTCCAAATATTTCTTAAGTCAAGCTGAGCAAACTTAAAATCGCTACAGCACGAAATAGAAGGATTTGGGTAGGGCTTGGCGCTGGGAGGGGGCTCGGGAGGGGAAAGGTGTCCGGGGGGTTCCTCTAGGAGCGGGCGCTTTCCCTGCGGGTCGCTCGTCTGCTCGTCCTGCGATTTTATGCTGTACTTAAAAATCCGGGGGAAAACAAATGTTTGTTTAAAAAATATATCGACCAGTTGCTCTAAAAGCGCATTAATTATTCAGGGCGGATCTATACTCGCCGCGCGTCGCAGTCAGATGGATGCCGCGCTCGGGAGCCACAGCAAAGAGCCACGAATTTTAGAAACAAAACACAAAAAAAAAAACCCAAAATACATGCGCTCGAGATTTACTGGGGAAAAAAAGAAAAGAAAAAAAAAAAAAAGGCAAAGAAAGCTATAAAGGGGAAAAGAAAAAAGAAAAATAAAGTGACTGCCGCAGGGTGGGAAACGACCCTAATTCCCTCTAAATTCTGTCGCGCTGCTCTGTGACCCTCCCTGTGTATTCCCGGGGTTTAGAGGGAAAGCGTCGAGCTGTAGAAATACAGCAGCAGAATATCTCAGACGCTGAACTACAGAATATATCAGATTTTATATTTTTTTTCCCCCTTAGATGCACTATTTTTATAGAAACTAGAGGGAAGTTTAGAAAACGTCAGTGAATGTGCCAAGCGGAGTTTTTGGCTAGGTTGGTTTTTTTTTTTTTTACTATCTTTACATCTCCTATTTCTGTTTCTTTTTAAAAATTCTCCCTCGGAGGTTCAGAAAGCAAAGCATCTACTCGCCTGAATTTAAGAACCATTCACGAAAAGTCAGCGTGTAAAGTTAAAGTAATATTTTTATTACTATTTGCAACAAGTCAGTTGTGGGGCACATAATCTGACCTTGGCACCGAAATACATTTAACGTCAGTAAAACTTCTTTTTTTTTTTTAAAGGGAGATTTGTACATATAGTTAAATAATTTTTTTTTTTTCACTTGGTGACAACATTCAGGCAAAACGAGAGAGCTTAAGAAAAGGACTATACACGGATCGGAAAATGTACCTTTCGGGTTTCGTTTTGGAGTTGCAAGAGTCCGATCGCTTCTTTTTGTGACTCTTTAAAACCTCGCCTCGGAGGACGGGAGGGAGAGGCTCTTCCTTTTTCTGCCGTGCGAGGCGGTGAGAGTTTATGCCGGGGAAACCGTCGGCGAGTTTTTAAAGGCCGAGCCGCAGGTGGGTGGGGGGCGTCGGGGGCGCGTTTCTTTCGCCGCCTCTTCCCTCTGCCGTCGTCGGCGTTAAATAAAAAGTTTTTTAGGCGCCGTCGTCGTTGGCGGAGGGCGCGTGTGGCGCCGGGGGTGCCAACCCTATAGCTTGTCGAGGCTTTTGGGATTGGTGAGGATTTCCCTGGCTAGCCTCCAGGTCTGTTTGGCAGCGCTTTCCAGGGCCGAGTGGGGCTTGCCCTGAAAGAGGTCTAGGTTGGGCAGGAAGTAGTGGGGGCAGCGCCGGCACTGCAGGCAGGAGATGAGCTGCAGCAGGATGCCGTTCAGCCGGTCGCCCAGGCACGCCTCGTCCCAGTCGGTCTCCCGCGGGTGCTTCTCGCACTCGTACAGCAGCAGCGTCTTCATGTGGTAGTTGTTGAGGGGCTGCCCGGGCAGCTCCAGGTGCCGGTCGCGCAGCGTCTTCAGCAACGAGAGGCACTTGTTCCGGCAGCCGCCCACAACGCACGCACCCGCCCGTCAGCAGCCGGTTCTCGGCCTCGCCGAACTGCAGCACCCAGGCGTCGCTCTCGGCCGAGCTCTGCTTGCCCGTCAGCGAGTAGCACTCCTTGGAGAGCAGGTTGAAGCCCTCCGCCTTCACCTCCGCCACCCGGTTGGGGCCGGGCCAGGGGATGTGGGGCATGGGCCACTGCGCCGCGCTGCGCGGCCAGATCCCCGTGCACTTGAAGGCGGGGGTGATCTGCACCACGTAGCGCTCCCGGATGCGCAGCTTCACCTCGCTGGTGTCCGCGATCATCTTCACCACGTCCCGGTAGCTGCACTTGTCCACGGCCTGGGCCACCAGCGTCTGGAAGCGGGAGCGGATCTTGCGGGCGGACAGGTAGCCCGAGGCGGTGATGAACTCCACCCAGAGCGACATGCTGCGCTTGCGGCCGTCGCTCAGCTTCAGCACGGCGCAGCCCGGCAGGGAGCCGTCGTCCACGAAGTTGAAGACGCCCATCTGGTTGAGGTAGAGCACCACCTCGAACTCGGTGGGCGAGATCACCTCCAGCCCCTCGTACCGGGCGTCGATCTCGCTGAGGGAGCTGATGAAGCGCGGCTCCTGCACCTCCACCTCCTTCAGCACGTCCGACACGACCTTGCACACCTCCCGGATGGTCTTGGCGATGGCCGCCTTGCGCGCCTGGCACCGCTCCGTGTAGTATTTGTTGAGCTGGTAGACCAGCTTGGCCTGCGCGGCGATCATGTTGGGGCACAGGTCCGGGCTGTACACCGGGCTCTCGCAGTACGTTGAGGGATCCAATGCTTTAGCAGAGGTGGCTGCAGCTTCGCGGAGGGC